GAATATATAGAAAATACATACTTTCGGATAAAGGAAATAATTTCCTGAAAACCCCGATAGACATTTTCGTGAAGGGTCCCTACGACGAAGCAGCAACAGGGAAGACTGGTAGAGGCGAAAGTACTATATGCCGAGGGAAACAGTACATGCCTTTGTTAAGATCAGCCCTGACATCAAGTAAAAACTGGAGAACAATGGAATCAGAGGATGACTATATGTATCCTGGCTTCGGCATCTCCCCCGAAAAATTTGTGTTTTGTGAGGACGTAAACAAATTTCAGAACGGAGACAATAACTTTAACATGTTAGTTAAGGACTCCGAACTTTCGTCCTCTAAAAGCCACTCGTCACCTCAAGTTATAGAAGTGGATGGCAAGAAGACGGAGGTAATAGTAAGACGATTTGGCTGCGCGGGAGTTAAAGTCTGCTCAGCTCCAAATTGTGATTACACTATTTCCACATCACAAAGGATAAATCGTTGTAGGGTTCATAAGAACACTCACGGTCTTCAAAGGTCAGAGCAATGCCCGGTGAACATAATTCATGTCAAGCCTAAAGCAGAAGATGACGGTAGAAGATGGGTGGGAACATTAACTCTCTAAGAGGCAACCCCGTGTCACAGCCACGCCAAGCCAAGTCCCCGAAAGTTGCCGATCTCTGTTGTCAAAGATTTACAACAGGCAGTACTGTTGGACCCTTCCAAAAAGGCAAAGGATCTACAGAAAGGTATCCCATCATAAATCGTTATTGCTTTATCGTACCATATACGAATTATACCTGTAGGTATTTGAACCCAAACACCTTTGTAAAGTACTTTAGTTACTGAACCCTTTAGACCACTTACCTGCCTAGGTGACGAACTGTTTTTGATTGAACTTACAGGACACGGTATTTCTTATGTTCCTGTCGAAAGAAGTATTGTTGCTGCCAATATAGATAAAGTAAGGAGGGTGAGAAATGTCGCTTTAAAAGGTTCTGGAAGTGTTGACGGAGAAGTTCACTTGATGAGTAAAATCATCAATTTTTAAAGAGAAATCCAACAAGAGGTGGACAAACCGGTACACAAAGCACGTAAGTACAACTATAAGGTTTAGCAAATGCTGACATGATAAACGGGGTTTTCTTTTTAACCCGGGATATGACAGATATGACTGGCAAATACTCTGGCAGACTTACCAGTCAAATAATTTCTCCGCTAATATATTTTTAATATTTTGATTTAATATAAATTAAATTATATGATCGCATAAAAATGTGGTATATCTCTTAAAAAAAAGCTTTAAAAGTTTAAGAAGTAAATTATCATTACACAATTTCAAAGAAAAAATTGAAAAAATAAAATAAAATAAACCTAATTTGAAACCCCTTCGAAAATAGTCTATTTTACAGACTATGAAAAGGCAGATGAAAAGCCAGACAGTCTCCACATTTATAAAACTCTGAACGCAACTTATTATTATCATTTTTTTTTTTTTGGACTGTCCAAGCCATCCCAAGAAAAAGGATGCGTTAATTTTTTGAGAAACTTCTAATAAAAGCAAACTTATCTCTTTATTTACTTCTTTCTTTATTCAAATACCGTAAAATTCCGAAAATAAGCCCAGGGGATTATATTTATCAAAGGCCCTTTTTGAGGGGCTTATTTTTGGAGGGGCTCATATTCGCTCATATTCGCGCGGATTTAAGAATTTTAAATGGTAGAATTAATGGCGACTCGTTAGGCAGACCTACATTTCATGGTAAATCGGGAATCAGTGTCATTGATTACTCCGTATGTGACCAAGATTTGCTACGAAATATAACATCTTTTGTAGTGAAAGAGCCGAACAGTTTATCAGATCATAGTCCAATAATAACATGGCTTAAGGTTAACCGTCATTTAGATAATGATTCATCAAACGAGGCAATTATAAATGATTCTTTGACTCCTCTACCAAAACAGTTTTTTTGGGAAAACGATTCGTCACAAAAATTTAGAGCTACATTACAGTCTGAAGACATTCAAAGAATGATCCACGATTTTATGAATACTACAACAATCACGAGAAATGTTGACATGAACCTTCATGCTGTAGAAAATATTCTTATTTCAACCGCCAAACGCTGTTTGAAGATCAAAACAGCAAAAAAGCGACGTTGCAAAATATCTTCGAACAAAAAATGGTTCGACAAAGAATGCCGCTATAAAAGACATGAACTGCGGAAACTTTCTAATCAAAAACATAGAGATCCTCTAAACACTACCCTCAGAGAAGAGTTTCACAACGTCTTAAAACAATATAAAAACCTTTTGAAACATAAGAGAAACGAATACTATAGCAATAAGATCTGTGAACTTGAAAATACGGTCGAAAATTCGAACAATAAGAGCTTTTGGAACTGTTTGAAGTCAATGGACGACACTATGAAGGAAACCTACACCCCTCAATTTCTGAAGAAAAATGGATGTCCCACTTTCAATCTTTGCACTCGAATGAACCCCTTAATGAACAGCAGGAGGCAATTATAGATGAGTTGCAGAATTCAGAGGATATTACGTCACGATCTCACTCCTTGGATTACCTCATCACTGAAAGTGAAATTCGCACTGCAGTTGGAAAACTCAAAAACAACAAATCTTCTTTTTCAGACAAAATCAAAAACGAAATGATCAAATCTAGCCTAAACGAATTAATGCCTGTTTATCTAAAACTATTTAACACGGTCCTCGACTTAGGAACTATGCCGCAAATGTGGTGTGATGGCCTCATTACACCAATTTTTAAATGTGGTACTAAAAGCGATCCATCAAACTACCGTGGAATTTGTATTTCCGGTTGTATTGGAAAACTATTTTGTTCAATTCTCAGTCAGAGACTTCTAAAGCACGTTGACTTAAATAATATACTTCACAAGTCTCAAATTGGTTTTCTAGCAAATAATAGAACAGCAGATCATGTCTTCACACTTCGAACATTAATAGACAAATATGTCCATTGTCACAAGGAGAAAATATATGCGTGTTTTGTTGACTTTAGGAAAGCCTTTGATTCGGTTTGGCATGATGGGCTTCTCTATAAGTTATCTAAGATCAATGTCAAGGAAAGTTTTATAGTCTAATTAAGAGTCTATACTCGAAGTCTACCTGCTCTGTCAGGATTGGAAATAACAAAACGCGATCTTTTCAATACGCAAGAGGAGTGCGGCAAGGCTGCATTTTAAGCCCTCTGCTCTTTAACTTATACCTTAACGATCTAGCGTTCTCATTTGACAATGTTTTATCAGACCCCTTCGTGTTACCAAATGGCACCAGACTCAACTCTCTCCTTTACGCAGATGACTTGATAATATTATCGCGATCCAAACTTGGTCTACAAAACTGCCTTAACGTACTATCTTCATATTGCAACTCATGGATGCTTAGAATAAATCCTAAGAAAACCAAAATAATGATTTTTCAACGATGCACACGAAAATGTGAACATAACTTCCGCATAGGCAATGAAGTAATCGACGTTGTCCAAAACTATACTTACTTAGGAACTCGAATTACATCTTCCGGAAATTTTACACTTTCGCTTGAACATCTCCGACAAAAAGCTCTTCACGCGCTCTTCAGCCTCAGGCGACACACGGATTTGAATAATCTTAAGCCCTCACTTGCGTGTAAAATTTTTGACTCTATGATTTCACCAATTCTAACCTACAACAGCGAAGTTTGGGGTGCTTTTGTTAAATCAGATTTTAAGTCCTGGGACAGCTCTGCAATTGAAAAAACCCATTTGCAATTCTGAAAACGTTATTTACAAGTACATAACAAGGCATCCAACATTGCTTGTAGAGCTGAACTCGGTAAATTTCCCATGATCATTGATATAAATAAAAAGATTCTAAATTACTTAGACTATCTGAGAGGTAAGGATGAAGATTCTATAGTTAAACAGGCCTTACAAATTTCAATTGACCTTCATCATAACGGAAAAACTAGCTTTTACTCTAATCTCATGAAAATGGTTGACTACTATGATCTAAACTATGACTTTTCTTGTAATTCATTGAGTGACTCAATAGTTAATAGGTATATCGGCATAATGAAAAATAAATACGTCTCTTACTGGAATCAGACACTTCAACAATCACAAAAACTCAGTTTTTATTGTACAATCAAAGACGACTATAGCCCCTCGCCGTACCTAGTTTTAACAAGAAAAAACCCTTCGAGAAAAACATTAGTTAGATTTAGAATAAGTAGTCATCAACTTAGAATTGAAACAGGTAGATACGAAAACATTCCTCGCAATGAAAGGATATGTCACTTTTGTACAAGTAAGAAAATCGAAGATGAAAATCATTTCTTATAGATTGTAAGGCTTATTCTCAGATCAGAGACATATTTTTCTCGAAACTAGAAACTAAAATACCTGACTTCAAATCACTTTCACACGATACTTTAATATCTCTTCTTATGAATTCTTCTGATTATTTAATTAACTGTCAATTAGTTTCATTTATCTCGCAATGCTTTGAATTAAGGACCAAATTAATATCAATGAATGAATGAATGAGAACTGTCACGTTTTGTAATGTTTTGCACGTACTAATTAGTTGAATTAGTACTTAAATTTAGATTAATAGCTTTTGCAATACTGTAATTCCTTTATGGTCATGCAAATAAAGCTTTTGGTGTTGTTGTTGTTGTTGATATTCGGATGGGCTTATCTACGGAGGGAAATTTGCGTTTCAAAATCGATTGGGCTAGCCTTATAGCAGGAAGTAAATTTACCGTTTTTGCTTTGTTTTACTTTGTATTTATTTTTGAAGGGGCTTATTCACGGAGGGGCTTATTTTCGGAATTTTACGGTAACTAAAACCAAACAGCCCCACCTCTCCCGGCCAATTTCATTGTTCAAGTTTTTTTTGTTGTTGTTGTTGTCATTTTCGTTCCAAAAGAGACTTTCAGAATATTGGTATATGTCTATTAATATTTGTTATTTTCAACAGACGAGTCCACGAATGCAGAAATGGCAGAGAGAATCAAAGGTCTCTCGCTTCCCTATCCTATGAGGAAAACACCCTTCATATTTTCTGGAGACTTTCGAGCTGCTTTCTTTATGAATCCCCACCAGGCCCGTTTGTTTGCTTCAGGTGAACATTTAAACGTCGATTTGACATTTACTGGGAATAGCTACACGCCATACTTGATTAATGTATTGACGTTTGACCTCGACACATTGCAGTGTGAGTATACTTATAGCTACATCTTCGGGTGTACAAGGCGCTAACCGCGCTTTTGCATTGAAATGACATTAATTTGTTATCTCTTAATGCGTGTCAAAACTATTATTGCGTTACTTTTTTAGTAGATTGGAATAAAGTTGTTGTTGTTGCTGACAAGAAACGATAGCTAACCAGATACATATACGGCTGATATTCTCTTAGTTTGCATACCATTATGACAAAAAATATATTACCTTACACTCGAAAAAAATATACCCTGTAACAGTTAAATCCACCACTTCACATAGATCATAATGCATCTTGTTACCCTCCCCTCGCCCCAAATTTTGCAAGACCATTGTTTTCAATTTCTCCTGGGTATTACAGTCCTCCCAAATAAAAATTGAAGACAATGGGTATGCAAAATTTGGGGGGGGGGGGGGGTAAACACGGTGCATTCTGGCCTATGTGAAAAAAGTGAATTGTTAAGCGACAAATGCATATAGGTATAACTGTAATGTTGGAAATATAAGCGTGATTCATTTCACGTTCTCTCTCTTCATGCAGGGACTCCCGTAGCACGATGTCTTTTAAACAAACAGAATGGCGAACCCCATGGGAAAGTTTTTAGTGAAATTTTCTCCTCAGTCAACCATCAATATGAATATTTTAACAATGGAGAAAGGATCGAAGCGATTACGGTTGATTTTTCTGACGCCGAAGTTAACGGACTCGAAGAGCCCCTCGGAAAGGATATGACGAGTAAAATTCTTCGTGGGTGCAAGGTGAACTTGATTAGTTTCATTGAAACCCAAATCAACTTTTTGTTTTCCCTTCACCGGTCCCACACGCCCGAGATAACGTGTAAACATAAAATTTAATTTTAGACATTCCAAACATATATCATTGCCACAACAATGTTAATGCAAAAAATAAAATAAGTACAAAATTGTGGTCAATGTCCAACAAACATATAATTATGTTATATTATTTTCGTTAGGCAATTTTGAAGGACTAGGGTATCTTCAGTTAGCTCCATCATAGTCGAATCGTCTACTTCCAATCAGAAGTTCACTAGTATTTATTAATAAACAAATGAATTGTATTTTTCCTCGGAGAAAGGAACGAAAAAAAAAAAAAACGTAAAGAACAAACAAACAAACCAATTTTTTTTTGGTTTTGCTTTGTTTTCAGGTACATTGGTCACGTTCATACAAGAGGGTAAGCCACCATGTCTGCTCAAATAAAGATGAGATAACAACCTTCCAGCACCTGCCGTCGAAAATAGAAGATGTAAAGAAGAAGGAAGAAGTTCTCCTGCTTTTCGACGTTTTGGCGGGTCAAAAGCACGTCAGCAGTGCGGCAGCTTTTTAAGAGAGGGAGCACCATTGATAACTAATTCCTCCTGGTAGAAAGCAAAGGCCCGGAAGGAATGGTGGACCAGAGAGAGGCATTTACGTCAGCAATAATTTTTCATTGATATGCTAAAACAAAAAATCTGTACACTTTCATCTGTACACGCCAACATCGCTGGAAATTTTTAATTATCTTCATTTGCTCTGTTGGAAAAGGTCAGAGAAGCTTCATCTACAGACAGAGATTGAGGAAAGGCGTCACGTTCTCTTTTAAATCTATTTTAGAGTTTAAAACATTTCAATTTCCTGTTTATTAGGCATGTTTACAACTGCTTTTACTCTCATGGATGAGGAGCAATGGGAAGCTTGCACATCGACCACAAATCCGGTGGAATCTATTAATAGAGAGTCTGTGCCAAAGGATGGCAGGCCGAAGAGCGTGGTTGAGGTGCTTAGTCATCTCTACCTCGTCGATAAAGTATATGTCGCAAAAAAAATGGCTGCAACAAGCAACGTCTCTACCTCGTATAGAGATCAGACAGAGAGTAAGTCAAGAAAAAAGGCGAGAAAGGAAAAGAAAGTGGAGGCGTAGAAGCGACTTCCAAAAAAACGATCCTGAAGGTAATCAGTTGTCAATTCAACAAAATAGCAAACTCTTACGGAATAATAAAGAGGTGCTTTTATTGTGATGAGACTTAATATCATGCTACTGCAAAGACGAAGTCAAAAGTACGTAGTTATTGCTAAAATTAGTTACTTTTCAGTGCTATTGGGATTACTGTAAAGTTGAATTCAGGAATTAGATGAAAGGGCCTTTACACAAGACAAGTCAAGAAATTTATTATCTTATTGTTGCTTACAACTTCTTGGCACGAAGTACTCATGGACAATTCACTTACCTGGAAAGCCGGGGGAATATGACATTATTGTCATGAATGGCGAAATAAATGGATTGCTGCCAATAACGAACATTTTATTCCAAGAAAACTATTAGACATGAAATTTACTGTTATGATAAGATTGTAAGATTTAGAAAATCAGTAAAAAAGCACACAGTGGCGTCTAATGTGTCCTAAACTAAATGAAATCAAAGCTTTTTTTCCAGGTCCACCAGACGCTTTAAAAACCAAGCGAAAAAAAAAAAAACAAGAGAAGGTAAAATTGTTTATTTGGATTTGTTAATGTCAATTATAGTGATCTAACGAGGGAAACTGGTTGTCCTTATATAAAACTAAATTTAAGAACGTATTGAGTGAGAAAGTAGCGATGCAGACATATAAATGGAATTTCTTTACCATCGAAAATCAAGAAGTGGGGAATTTGGGCATGTCAGCTAAAATAATTGGGCTCCGCACCAATGTCTATAGTGCATTGGATAATTTGTATACAATTTCCCATGCCATGGAGTGCTTCTAATCCATTGCTCAGCAATGTGTTACGATGGAAATAGATAACTTTCGTTCTGTTAAAATTTACTGTAGCTATAACCGCGAGGGCACAAGGTATAATCTGCAGTTAGGCATTCATTTTTGTTAATTCATTTGATGGTGGTTTGTGTGTTTTTCTTTTCAACAGACAACGGCTTGCTGATGAATAGACGAGTGAACGTAGAAACAGCTGATGCAGATGGGAACTGGGAGGGGTGGTTCGTGGGAACTATTATAAATTACAACAAGCAGACCAAGCAGTATAAGATTTCTTTCGATGTTTTCGATAGCACTCACAATATTGTTGTTCCGGGCGATGAAATTCCATCGGAGGACGTTGAACTCTTGTAAATCCCCTATTTTTGTCCAGGCCTTGGTTCCTTATAAAAGTTTGTTGTTATATAAGCAAAGTATGGTTCTCTAGTGAATAAATATTAAGTAAATAAATGAAAAACCCAAAATTTAAAAAGAATATATACTCAAAACAATATTAACCCTCTTCAGACTGGGCATTTCTTGTTTCCTGCCACCGGGTTGAGGGGGGGGACTCTTGCACTTTTTGCCCGTTCCACCATTTACTAGTAAATAGTGAACAAATACTAGTAAATGAAAATCTCGCTAACAAGTCAAGCCTTTTTGGCCCGTTCCACCATTTACTAGTAAATAGAGTCAAGATACTAGTAAATGAAAATCTCGCTAAAAGGTCAAACCTTTTTCGCCCATTCCACAATTTACTAGTAAATGAGAATTTCGCTAAAAAGTCACGACTTTTTCGTCCCTTCCACAATTTACAAGTAAATAGTGTGAAGATACTAGTAAATGAAAATCTCGCTAAAAAGTCATGCCCTTTTGGCCGTTTTACCATTTATTGGTAAATGTAATTTATATACTAGTAAAGGAAAATCTCGCTAAAAGGTCAAACCTTTTTCGCCCATTCGCACAATTTACTAGAAAATGAAAATCTCGCTAACAAGTCAAGCCGTTTTGGCCCGTTCCACCATTTACTAGTAATTAGTGTCAAGATACTAGTAAATGAAAATGTCGCTAAATGGTCAAGCCTTTTTCGCCCATTCCACCATTTACTAGTAAATAGTGTTAGGATACTAATAAATGAGGACCTCCCCGTTTCACAATTTACTAGTAAATAGTGTGAAGATACCAGTAAATGAAAATCTCGCTAAAAGGTCAAACCTTTTTTGCCTATCCACAATTTATAATTACCAGTACATAGTGTCAAGATACTAGTAAATGAAAATCTCGCTAAGGTCAAACCTTTTTTGCCTATTCCACAATTTACTAGTACATAGTGTCAAGATACTAGTAAATGAAAATCTCGCTAAAAGGTCAAACCTTTTTCGCCCATTCCACAATTTACTAGTAATTAGTATCAAGATACTAGTGAATGAAAATCTCGCTAAAAGGTCAAACCTGTTTTGCCCATTCCACAATTTACCAGTAAATAGAGTCAAGATACTAGTAAATGAAAATCTCGCTAAAAGGTCAAACCTTTTTTGCCTATCCACAATTTACCAGTACATAGCGTCAAGATACTAGTAAATGAAAATCTCGCTAAAAGGTCAAACCTTTTTCGCCCATTCCACAATTTGCTGGTAATTAGTATCAAGATACTAGTGAATGAAAATCTCGCTAAAAGGTCAAACCTGTTTTGCCCATTCCACAATTTACCAGTAAATAGAGTCAAGATACTAGTAAATGAAAATCTCGCTAAAAGGACAAACCTTTTTCGCCCATTCCACCATTTACTAGTAAATAGAGTCAAGATACTAGTAAATGAAAATCTCGCTAAAAGGTCAAACCTTTTTTTCGCCCATTCCACAATTTACTAGTACATAGTGTCAAGATACTAGTAAATGAAAATCTCGCTAAAAGGTCAAGCCTTTTTTTTCGCCCATTCCACAATTTACTAGCAAATAGTGTGAAGATACTAGTAAATGAAAATCTCGCTAAAAGGTCAAGCCTTTTTTCGCCCATTCCACCATTTACTAGTAATTAGTATCAAGATACTAGTAAATGAAAATCTCGCTAAAAGGTCAAACCTTTTTGCCTATTCCACAATTTACTAGTACATAGTGTCAAGATACCAGTAAATGAAAATCTCGCTAAAAGGTCAAGCCCTTTTCGCCCGTTTTACCATTTATTAGTAAATGTAATTAAAATACTAGTAAATGAAAAGCTCGCTAAAAGGTCCAGCCTTTTTTGCCCATTAAGAAAATCAATGAAAAAATTTTTTACTGTTAAGGAATTTTGAAAGAAAATTTTTACTAGTACTAGTAAAGTTTTTTAAAAACTTAAAAATATGAATTCGGTGGCTTTGATTGCCGGCTAAATTTCACAGTCAAAACAGTTGTCACGTTCAACTAGTAAAAGTCGGTTCGTAAACAATCGTAGAAAGAATGTTCAGCTAGTTTTTTGTAACGAATACGTTAAATTTGATCCTTCAATTTACATTGTTACTGAAGTATAAACGTTTCTTAGCAAAATTCTTGAATAGAGGTTATTTGATTTGTTAAATGACCAAATAAATAGAGGCAAGAAAACAGGTACAAGTCATAAGCTTGTGGTATCTCCTTCAGCGTCAACTCATCGGGTAAGTGAATCGGTATACTAGATTTTAAGTAGCACTTGAGATTTTGATATGTTCTTGATTTAGTACACAATTATAAGTCGCCACCCTAAAACTAAATGGCCAAGGTTTCGTAAAACTTCATCATCGTTTTTTCTCTGAGAATATACAAAAGAAAGAAATATAAATTCGTGAACTCGTCAATGAACTAATTTTGTTTGATTTTCCTGCTCGATATTTACCATGAAGTCTTTGTTAAGTGGTATGGTTGGTTGTTCTTTAGGCTATTAAATTATTTTTAAGACATGTATAATGTTTAGTTTTTTCGTACGTGAACGATGATATTTTTGGTTCCCAACACCGAATTCTACTAATAGGCTTCCCTTTTTTTTGAGTTAAGAATTGAGACGTTAAGATTAATT